GAATATGGGAGTTACTGTTGTTCAAAGTGCAACTATTTTGCTCATGTAAATTGCGCAATTGATGAAGATCTTTTGGAAGAAGAAGAAGAAGAAGAAGAAGAAGAGTCTAAACTATCACCATCAGATGACTCGACTGGTGATGTTTCTTGTGCTTTTACGGTAATCAAACCCGGAGAGATAAAACATTTTGCCCACGAACACAACTTAATATTCAGTGATCGTGGGGTTAAAGATGGCCAAAGTTGTGAAGGCTGCTTGCGTCCCATCGCTATTTCATTTTATTATTGTGAGGACTGTGATTTCTTTATCCACGAGGGCTGTGCTAAGTTATTGAAGAAGGTACGCCACTGGGCCAGCAAGCATTCAATGGAACTCTTTTTCTATGTCATTTTTTACTGTGACTATTGCTGGTTTAGGAATAGTGGGTTTGGCTACAAATGTGATGAATCTGGCATGATAATGTGCATTCGGTGTCATGAAATTCCTGACACTTGTACTGTTGAAAGACATGAGCACCCCCTTTTCTTTGACCACAAATACGAGGGGACTTGTTGTGGTTGTGGTTTTAAATTTATGCGTGGTTTTAGATGCAAGGACAAGAAATGCAAATTTGCCATAGATTACAGGTGCCTTGTGCTGCCCAAGACAGCTCGGTATAAATATGATAATAACCATCCTCTCGCGCTTACTTTCCGTGGTAATCATCATCGGAGCCAATGTTATTGTGACATATGTGAAGAAGACAGAGACCCGAATCATTGGTTTTATCATTGTGCTGATTGTGATGTTTCTGCTCATCCATATTGTGTGCTTTGGGCCTCTCCATATGTCAAGCTCGGTAAACCATTCAGGTATGCTGGTCATCATCAACATCCTGTCAGTTTTGTGAAGATAGACTTCAATCCTCCTAAATGCAACAGCTGTAATAAGCCTTGTAGAGATGAGCTGGCCATTCAATGCACAGAGTCAGATTGCAACTACATAGGCCACCGGTATTGTTTATTCTATCGGAATATTCTACATACAGATCTCTAAGGAGGTGAGACTGGTATTGTTGTCATGATATTAATGAGATATCTCATTTGCAGTTCTTACTTTTAAAGTAATTTTCAGTATGTTGTTTCTATTTGGGGATGTGTTTGGACTAGTGTCTAGTACATATATTTGTTGCAAGCAAATATTGGATATGACTATTTGTTGAAGTTTAAATGTAACCATTTAGTTGTTTGGATGTTTGTGTGTTTTGAACACCAAAAAATGGTTGTTTCCTTGTTCTTTTCTTTTTTGATATTTGATCTCCTTTTTTTTCTCTTCCCATTTATTCTATGCTTTTTTTTTTTCTTGATAGATCAAGTATTTAATTGCTTAACAATTACAAATAATTCAACCCTTAACCTTAACTCCAATTCAAGCTCTTGTTGGTATTGTATGATTTATTATGTTTCATGTATTCTATAATTGAATCCTGTGGATGATTATTCTACCATAGGGGAGATATTTCCGTGACTTATGATACTGTTAAGAAACTTATTTGTTAAATCAACATGAATAGATGCGAAAAAATTACGGGGAAAATCTTTTTTTTTTTTTTTTTTAAATAAAAAAAGAATTCCCTCATTTCAAACAAACATGTAAGCCAAGGCAAGAGGCTAAAAAAAAATAAAATGCACAAGATTTTACATGAAAATGAAATGAGCGTCAAGACCTGATTCCATCCTCTCCAAATGTTGAAGCTCATTCCAGAGTCAAAGGTGAATTGTTATCCCTTCCTACCAATGCGCCACCGAAGTCTGAGCATGCACAGAACCATGTCTGGATTTGCACAACCGAGATGCATCCATGGCATTAAAGTATCTCCCTATGCTCTTGGCTCCAGTTACTCCAGCTAACA